ATTCTTCACAAATGACGGTAAACAACAAATAAACTAGGAGATTACATAATGTACAGGAATCAGCGTTGGAAAAAAATGATTCTTAAAAAAAAAATGCTCTCTTGCCAACAGCTGCAAGTTGAGAGTTAGAGCCATGATTGAGCAACTTCTGTATTTTCTGGTTTTGTTGTTGTTGCTGGTGTCTTACTGTAAGACCATGGTCTTAGACTCCTTCTTTCAGCTAATTCTAAGGTACAGTTGAAATTACCCCTTTATAGTGGTGTCACATGTCCATCCTTTATATATAAGTGTCAGACATTCCCTAGTGTCTGGTACAAACCTGAACCAAAGGTAGTTTTTGAGGCTGAAAACTCTGTATATACCAGTGACTCCCAAAAGTTACATCTGGCAGTAACAGATCTTGCCTACAGAGAGAACCATGTCATCTGGTCCACAGATTTCTTCGTGGGTCTGGAAATTAACACTGCCACCACTGTACCACCTCCAGCTTTCAAAGGTTTGTGTGACAATATTGGTTCCTGGCCACGCTGGCCCCATGTGGCAGGATTTAGCCCCAGCTGTTCCAGTACTGCACAGCAGGATCAGGCACGTGCACCAGATCTGACCCACAAACCAACCCAGCACCGTTCATCTGGCCCATGGGGCCAAAACATTAGGCACCACTGTTTAAATCTTACACATGCACATGAACACACACATGCAAGCACACCTTTTTGGGTGTAAAACTGAAATATGCCACTCATTTTAATCCAGAAAAAAAAGGTGTGCCCTAGGTATCAAAACTCTTGGAAACACTGGTATATACTATGATTGGTTTGGCTTACCGAGGATCATCTTGAGGTTGTATTTGGAATGTCATGGAAAAGTCCATATCCAGATACCCAAAATTATACTAGCATTCTCTTGTTTGTATACAGTACATATATAGTTTATAGTAAGTGCATTGTAAAACCTCTCTTCAGGGGTCTTTTGCCTTCACTATTGTACATACACAAACATTTATGGAAAGGCATAATAAAATACAGATATACTTTATCACTGAAAATTAGGTAATTAGATACCTGTGTTAGAAAGGCAGGGAACTAGTTTAGTTGAATTCTTCTATTGACATCACCTGCAAAATGTTGCACATAAAACTAAAGATATACATTTAAAATGTTTTAGAACAGTGGTGAGCAAAATATGGCCTTTGGTCTGGGTGTGGCTTGCCAAGGAATTTTATCTGGCTCTCGGACCCACGCAGGCCAGGCACAGGGGGTAGCCCTGACCATGGCGCATGCAGTCAGTCTCGCTGCCCCTGGGTGTACAGTGCGGAAGGGGTGGCGTGGCAGCTGGATTCTAATTCCTGGCAGCCCTGATGCTGCTTCTTACTGGCTGCTGCTGCCAGTGTCTCCACCACCACTGGACAGGCCTTGCTCCCTGGGCATGCCAGCCTGTTCACCACGTACCCACTGCTGGGGGCACAGATGGAGTGAGCAGGCAGAGTCTCCATAGAGACTAGCTGGGACCCCCATGGGCAGGGCATGCTCGGATGAGCAGATGGGTAGGGCTGCAATTAGGTGAGAAGTAGTGTCCAGGAGTGGGATGGGTAGGCAGGGGCCATCTGAGGAGCAGATCACAGTTCTGCCCTGGACCCCAGCCCTGTGCTAGCACTGCTTCATGATCCAAGCTTTGGCCCCCACCTGCCCATCCTGCTCCTGGATGTCACACCTGCCATCCCATCCCATCCCATCTGCCCTGTTGAGCGCGCCCTGCCTACAGGGGTACCAGCTGGTCTCTATGGAGACTCCGCCCACCTGCTCCATCCTGTGCCTCCAGCAGTGGGTGCAGAGTGGACTGGATAGTATCAGTTGTCTCCCCACAATCAGCCAGATCAGCACCCCCTCTGCTGGCCCACAGCAGCTCACCCAAATTCCTAAAGTGGCCCTCCAGTGAAAATAATTGCTCTCCCCTGTTTTAGAAAGTGTGCCTTTTAAGATAGTTTATTCAGAAGCCTTTAATATCACACTTGAAAACTATTAATGAATAGTTTTAACTCCTGCAGTTGAAGCATAAGAGGTCTATCCTCCTAAGCAAACAGGGGATTAAGGATTTACACCCAAGCATTCATTCACTTAAAATAATATAGTTCTTATAATTTATACTTAATTTAATTTTATAATCTATTAAAGACTTTCACAACAACAGTGTCAATTTAGTAAGATCTAGTACTTTTTCATTATAAGAAAGGAAAATAGTTTTGTGTTTTCTCATCATTTTAGTAATAATTCAGAATTCGTTGGTATTACTTAGATTTTTCCCTCGGATACATATTTTCCATGGAAAATCTCTGTGGAATGTTTTGGTGAGGAAAAGAAAAAGTTTAATTAAATGGGATGATGTTTTCTTAATAACCTCTGAAAAATTCAGATTTATAAAGGACTGAAAGTTTTCTTTATACAGCCCAAGAAATATAATTTCCTACAGTGTTATATAGGGAATATTGAAAAATATGTGTACTTCCCAAGGAAAACCAACAATAGATCATTAAACTTTTATAATACTAGGATGAGGGGAGCGATAGCGGAAGGACCTATTTTAAGCTCGTTACACCTCAGGTGGTAGAGTGAAATGTCTCCTTGAGTGCTGCAGTGCAGTGGAGCACATTGTCTTATATTGAAAACCTAGTTGTTTCCACACAAAATTACTCTACATTTTACAAATATATGCTGCTGATGTGCTGGAAGGTGGGCAACCAAATCCTCATACAGGTGTCAGAAAATACATTTTTTATGCAAACTTATTATTTTCTTAGAGGTATTATAAAATGTTAATATTCCTGTTCCTTATGCCATATTATGCCATAGTTTATTATACGTGCTGTTTAATATTATGACAAATTAACAAATTGGGGGGAAATATCAATCAAACACACTCCATGATACTTCCTTAAAGTATCTTTTAAAGAGGATTAATATTAATTAATCAATTTTAATTTAATCTTAATTAATATGAATGAATCTGTGAAAGGATCCAAATCCACAGAAACACCAAAGCCCTCACAAAAGCTGGGTCACCCCCAGCAAAGAAGTCTGCACAGTAATCTTCACTCCTCTCCTGGCATTTTTTTTCCTGCCAGGAGAGACAGATCATCCCTCCATACTCAAAAGAATGCTTTTATTAGCCCCTTCTTCAGAATGATGGCATATCGCCATATCTTATTATGGGAAGGAGGCCTTGGTATGTGACACAAAAGTTCATTAATAAATAAATTCTGCATCCATCTCAAAGAATTATAAATAATCTATTAACTAGCAATCAGACTAATCCCAGTGTGTTGTCTTTTTTACATTACTAGTAGTTGTAATTATTAGTAATACAGTGGGTAAGGTGTAGTTTAAACTTCCAGATGTTTGTGGAGAAAATGGCTCACCCAGCACTGCTCTTAGAGGCAAGGTAGAACCTGGTATTAAAATTAGAGATACTGTATTTGCCAATTTATATAGTTTCCAATACGGTAGAATCCCATGCACTGCTATAGGTTTCAGACCAACTGGCTAAGCAGCAGCTCTGCAGAAAGGACCTGGGGTTTACAGTGGACAATAAACTGAATATGAGTCAGTAGTGTGCCATTGTTGCCAAGAACGCTAACAGCATACTGGGCTGCATTGGTAGAAACATTGTCAGTAGATCAAGGGAAGTAATTATTCCCCTTTATTCAGCACTGGTGAGGCCACATCTGGAGTACTCTGTCCAGTTTTGGGCCCCGCACTACAGAAAGGATAGGGACAAGTTGGAGAAAACCCATTGAAGAGCAACAAAAATGGTTATGGGGTTGGGGCACATGACTTATGAGGAGAGGCTGAAGGAAATGGCCTTATTTAGTCTAGAGAAGAGAGGACTGATGGGGGATTTGATAGCAGCCTTCAAGTACCTGAAGGGTGGTCACAAAGAGGATGCAGCTAGACTGTTCTCAGTAGCGGCAGATGACAGAACAAGGAGCAATGGTCTCAAGTGGCAGCAAGGGAAGTTTAGGTTGGATATTAGGAAAAACTCTCTCACTAGGAGGGTAGTGAAGTACTGGAATGGGTTACCCAGAGAGGTGAAAGAATCTCCATCCTTGAAGGTTTTAAGGCCCAGCTTGACAAAGCCCTGTCTGGAATGATCTAGTTGGGACTGGTCCTGCTTTGACCATGGGGTTGGACTAGATGACTTCCTGTGGTCCCTTCCAACCCTAATTTTCTATGATTGTATGATTCTGTGTTTTTTTAGGTAAACTAGAAAATGGATCTGACTCCTTTATATCTTGAGACTGTGACTTTTCCTCCTTAATTGACCTGTTGCATTTACCTGTCAGACAAGAAACACATGCAAATAAATTAAATTTTTTGCTTGCTTTAAATGTAACCAGACACTTTTGGCAAGCTATCCATATGAATCTGGAATACATTATCCTGTAATAACTAACAGATTTTTTTTAAAATGCAGGTTGATTATTATTTCTTCTCTATTACAGTAAAGGCATGGTGGAGAGTTTTCTCTACTGTCTGGTGAATCCTCCATCCCTTGTGAAAAATGCTTGTAAGACAGATGTGTATTAACCTCATTGTATTATTTATTAGTTTATCTTGGTAGATAAGCCAACTAAAACTACTTGGCAGGAAAATTACTGTATTATCATTGTATCTATGTAGTTACACGAAAACTACACATAACTGATTACTTTCAACATTTGTATATTTCTATATTTCTTCTGTGAAAATGTTTATTTGTTTTATAGAATATACGAAGGACAGATTACAATAGAAAGAACACGTAGTTTGAGAAAAATCAAATGCCCGATACATTTGGGTAGCAAATATACTGAAAATAGAGTTATAACAAGACTGTTCTTTAGAAAACATAACTTTGAATTAATTTACTAAGTTATTGCACCTACTAAAATGCATTAGGTGTTGGAGACACTGTAACAAATAGAATTGATTTAAATTAACATATATGTTTTTACTTTGCAAATATAGTACATTTACCCCTAAAATGCAAGGCAGACGGATGGGGACTTCAGGGAGAACCATCACAAAGAGCACAAGTGTGAGTGGAGAGATGTATAAACTGGAACACAATGATGGGAGTCAATCAGACACTGCTGTTGGTACAGTTGGAACAGGTGGGAAGAAAAGACGATCCAGCCTTAGTGCCAAAGTGGTTGCCATAGTATCTCGAAGAAGCAGAAGCACATCCCAGCTTAGCCAAACAGGTGAGTGAAATACATTCAGCTTGAACACAGGTTTCCTTAAACATAGCAGGTTATATTACTCAGGGCATCTGGGTGAATCACATATGTGCGTGTTTGGATGTAGTCCATTCAGAAAAAGCTTTTTCAGTGTCTCAAAGTGTTTTTGAGACTCTTAAATTTGTCGAAACACCAGGTGTTACAATGTTTCCATAGATTAGTGTTTCTCAAAATATAGACTGCAAATCTCTCTTGCCCTGTCAAATGAACTAATTTGTTTATCTATGAAAATGCTTTGTTCACAATTATGCGAAAGAATATAGAAAAACGTGTGGGTATCAACAATTTAAAGTTTTAAACATAAACAGCATTGTGTGTGTACAAAATCTTTTCTTGGCAAAACAATTCAGTACAAACATGGTTGTAATCTACAGAAAATGAATGTTAGTTATGTAAGCTTCATAGTTTACCATTTAGTACCTGTAGTACCCAAATTTTAAATATTATATTTTATGAGATTACCTCGTATTTGACAATACAGACAAAACCTGGTATTTTCTCTTTAAAAACAACTTTTCCAAAAAGGGGTTAGGGAATTTAGCTGAATTAGAGGGCACTATGATGCTTCTTTATGGGATTTAAGGGTTCTAATTCTTTATTACTACTTCAGAAATCTTAAAAGCCTCATATCTGTATGGCCTGAAGGGGAAAAAGCTCACAAAGAACAAAAGAAAAGGAGGAAATGCCTACAGTCCCCAATCCTATTCTTATTGAAGTCCAGTGAGAAATTTTGCTAGTGACTTCATTGGATGCAGGTTTAGGCCCTGAAGGTTGTTACTAAAGGAGAAAGAAAAAAGCTTCAGAATAGTGTAGAACTCAGGCATAGTGCAGTGTTTCAGTCACATATTCAAGACTGTCCTGCAGTGAGGGTAAGTAACAACATTTGTTTGCATTTATTGAGTCTATTTTCACCGTCTTTGTTTTTCATTTTTCCCGAGTGGAGAGTAGAGGTCTTGCCTTCAAAGCAAGTTCTTTTATTCTGATATTTTAGGCAATTTCAGTAAAATAGTATATTATATTATATTATATTATATTATATTATATTAATATTCTTCTACTTCTAATCTCTTATCGTTTTAAACTGAATAACATACTAAATCATGTTAAGTCAAATAGTAGATTTAGCAGGATCATTTGAAAGCTTCAATTAAAAGTTATGTTGTGCTATTGAGAAATGTAGTATGATCATTAACGCACAACCTTAATAATGCAAATCAAAAAAGATTGTTGCATAAAACGCATTATGTTAATTCAGACCAACCCAAATTAAGTGTCTCAATTTAAATAAGGAAAAATAGGTTTGGCGGTATTGGAAAGGTATAAGTAGATATTTTTCCCCTATTTATTAAGACTTATATAGTTTAAATTAATTGTCTAATTTTATGTTGTGATAATTTGGTCACATATTGCTTTCCTTATGAACGCCAAACCCTTGTTGATGTGAGAATGTCCATACTGGATCAATTCTGTATTCTGTCTAGTTCAGTTCATGTAGCCATGTCTGGATGCTTCGAAGAAGGGTGTATGAGCCTCTATAATACATTGTGTATTTTGCTGTCTAGGAAAAATCTTTCCTTAATTTTTAATAGGTATGAAGGCTGATTAAAAATGTATAAGATCTCGTATAGTTTAGAATATCCTTATCCTTAGCTATCCTAACTCTTGATTATTCTATTTTGCATGTAAAGGCACGGGTACTCTTTGACTCTTAGTTCAAATCAAGTTCAGATTTCAAATCAGTGGGAGCTTTGAATACACAGAGACATCATTAGACACTTTTTTTCTAATTTAAGGGATCCGAGTTCTAAAGTAAATATGAAGAGATTCACAATATATTATAATTATTATGTCATAATTATTTAGAGTATTTGGAAATTTCTTCAGCAGTAAAAAGCATTGGAAAGTTTTTACATGTAAAGTTATACTTGTTTAGTATTTTAGAACCTAAACAGTGCTCAAAGGTAGTTTTAGTTTGGATTATATGGAATTCTACTGTATTGTGAAATTTAAAAAAAAATCAAGTTTATGACCTGTTATTACTAAATCTTTTTAAAAACACAAAATATGCAATAGTAAAATAAAAATAAATCAGCCTTAATTCCAGGAGATGAATTAAGTTTTGCACTAATCGAGAGGACTGCCTAAGTTCCATTTGTAAAAGTTCAGTAGGGAAATTCTAGGTTTTGTGCATTGCTGGAGACATTTGGACCAGCTACTGAAGGGTGATGTCTGAATTCATATACTTCAGTAATGTGGAAATCCCAAAAGCCTGCATTGGAATATATGGACATCTGTACACACCATGGGGGTTTACTTCAGTTTAATTCTCCCTAAATTGAAGCAGTGGGTCTTTAAAAACATCATTTCAATTTAGGGCAAAGTAAACCCCTATGGTGTGTACACAAGGGTCGGGCCTGTGTCCAGGGGGGGGAAGGGAAGTGTGAGCTGCCGGTGGGCTGAGCAGTCCCTGAGATGTGAGGGGGAGGGGGGCTGGTGCTTCCCTCCACAGCAGTGATGGCGCCCCCCCAGGCAGCACCCACCTGTAAGCACCCGGCCCGAGTGGTCTCTGAGGGTATTGCAGCTGTGGAGGGAAGCACCAGGCCCCCCACACAGCTCAGGCAGGCTCCGAAGAAGAAAAAAAAAAAGAAGGAAGATCAGGCTTGCCACTTTTTATTTTTGTTCTTTCAGTGGAGCCTGCCTGCACAGCCCCTGAGCTGCACAGGGCCCAGTGCTTCCCTCCACAGCAAACTAAAGCACCTTGGAGATGTTTTATTTTGCTGTGTCCCAAAGTCATTTAACGTGCATTACACTGCTGGCACGTGCAAACAGCCCACCATTAAAGCGCATTATGCTGCCAATACATGCAAATAGCTGCACCATTAAAGTGGTGCAAAAGGGCATTAAGCCACTTTAAAGGCCAATTTTGTGGCATGTACAAATGGCCAATTAGTCCAGCCCAGAGGTATAACATTGTGCTACAAATGAAGCATATGCCAGAAACCCATTAATCTAGTTTTCTTAGATTAATTAAGCACTTAGGTATAAGACTTCTCACGTCCATTTAATAGAATACAGATTAAGAGTATTCAAACTCTGAGACTTAACTGAGAATCACTGCCATGTTTTCCCTCTAGGAAGAGGCATTTAAGACTGTACATTAAGGATGAGGGAGCAGGGATTTCACCCAGAAAACACTGAACAGCTTGAGGGTCTGCATGGCACCATGGTAAACCTTGAGAGGAGCTGCCATTCCTGTGGTGCTCCCTTCTCATCTATAATAGTCCTTCAGTCCTGGGCTAAATTACAACATGTACTGCTGTAAGGCACAAATATGTGTATATACTTGAAGAATGTATGGATCTTTATCTAGTTTATTATTAGCTGTAAGTTTCTTTAACTTATTCTCTCCATATTGAGTGACTTTTTACATAATTGGAGGATTTTACCTTAGGTTAAAAAATCATTTCTGGCCTTCAGGAAATAGGGTAGTTGGAGCCAAAGAAAGAAATACTCCCTAATTTATTTTCTAATATATTGTGCAAAC